CCAGCCTCTCCTTTCCACTGCCTCCCACACTGACACACATCTACGGGTCCCCAGAAGCATCACATAAGTGGCATCTTCGGACCAGAGCACCCGTCCTCCTGGCCGCCCAGCCCTCAGCCCAACAGCCATCCCTGGACCCACCCCCCCCCCCCCGATCCCAGGGCCCCCGATTCGTCCTGCTTCCTCACAGCCTTCCCCTAGAGAGCCCTTCAGGAGCCAGGGCTTCAGTCTGATGAAGCGTCATGTTGTGCTAGCACAGGACCTGGCACACTGTGGGCACTGAGCAGACGGTGCTGGAGTGGGTGAGTGTGAATGGGGCTCTGAGGTTTCCTGGATCTGGATTTTCAGCACGGGGGCCACAGGAGATGCGTCTTCCTAGATGTGCTGGTCCAGAGCGTGCCCTGTCTCAAGATTCTCTGGGGCCATCTCTGAGCTCAGTGTCTCCCATCATTTGGTGTCTGGAGGTATTTTCTGGTCCCTCCCTGTGCCCCAAGGGCAGGCAAAGCTGTGTGGAGGCTACGCACTCACCCGGAGGATGCTGGCCATCGGCCCAGCTGTCCCATCACCCCTCAGCTATTCTAACAGGGCCACCTCATACATACATAGCAAGGTGTGGACACAAAAGAGAGATATTTTTAGCACTGTTTTTATAGGCAAGACAGAAGGAGCCTCTCTGGTGAAGAGAGTGCTGGACTTGGGATTGAGAGGCCTGGTTCTATTGATTTGCATGACCGTCATTAATACGGAGCGTGTGTCGAATATACAACAATGCACAGGGCGCAAAATGAGATACGTCCTCGCTCAGGGGCCTCCTGAGGATGACCTAGCCAGCCACACGCTGCCAAGGGCACGAGGCCGCTGTCCTTCAGATCTGAAGGTGGCAGGCCTGCCTTACCCTCAACCGGTGCAGCCGGCCCTTGGGTTCCTCACTGCTGGGCAAGGACGGTATTTCCAGAAGCCAGCTATGGCCTGCCAAGGGTGGACACTCTGAGATGGGGAGAAGCCAGCCGCTTTGGCCTTTGACCTTGTCCCTTCCTGGTTCTGGCATGACTCCGTAGAGCTCCAGTTCCTGCCTCTGTTGAGATAAGGTCACGAAGCTATGCAAGAGCACTCCAGAAAGCCGAGCCCATGTCTGCTCTCCTGATTTTCTGGAGACTTTCCGTGATGAGTCTGGGAAGAAAAGAGAGACCATGGCTGATGTGGATGAGGGATTTCAGGAAAGGAAGGAAACTGTAACACAGAAGCAGAAATGTGTTCAGGCCAGCAGGTAAAACTAAGGACTCCGGCCAAGAAGAGTGAGTTTCAGGAATGAGTTCCCAGGTTAGCCCAGGTTAAATTACTCGGCACCGGGCAATCCCCTGCCTTCCTGCTGCACTCCGAGTCCCCGCCTCCACTGGGGGTCAGCTTGGCCGGCTCCCCATGGCCTGGTTCTTGTAGCCCAGGGCTGGAGTTGCCAAAACCAGGCTCCCTCCTCCCTGGGTTTCCATCCATTAGGACTGATTTGGGGGCGGGACAGAGAAGTTCACTGTTTTATCTTCCTTCTATTTCAGCGGGATGGAAAGCAAATCCAAGTTTTCTCTCTTTTTTTTTTTTTTTTAAGTTTATTTTTATTTATCTTTGATAGAGAAATAGAGAGTGAGTGGGGGAGGGGCAGAGAGCGAGGAGACAGAATCCCGAGCAGGCTCTGTGCTGTCAGCACAGAGCCCGATGCGCGGTTCGAACTCACAAACCGTGAGATCACAACCTGAGTAGGACGCTTAACCGATTGAGCCACTCAGGTGGCCCACCTCCCCCGGTTTTTCTGTGTAAGAGGTAACGAGAAGAAACAGGTTCAAGAGATCTAAAAAGCAGGGCTAAGTGCTCCCCTTGATTCCAGCTCACCATCCTCATGTTGGTACTTGGGGGAATATTCATAACTTTTTGAGATAACTGCTAAAAGACTTGGTTTTATGGAAAGAAAGCTGCTGGGGCCTGAGGGACACTGCCTTCTCGGGTTCATAGAGCTCCCACGTCTAGGGAACACACAGGGCACGCACGAGGGCTCCTCTCATGTCACTGTATCCAGATGACCTCGTCCAGTGTCCTGCCCAGAGAAGGAGCCCAGTTAGTGCCCGTGGAAGAGAACTCAGCTGGTTATCAGAAGGAGCAGTGGCCTGGGGATAAGGACTTCTGCATCTGTCTTCCCAACCTGTTTCTCTAATTTCCTGGTCATAACACTGGAAGAATGAGTGACAATAATTTAAGACAACTTTCCTTCTGGCACTGGCTATGTCTGGCTGTGTTTCTGAAGAGTTCAGATCAACCTTTGACCCAGGTTGCTAAGAGAGTAGTTCACGGTTCCCCTTTAACTGCAACTCACTGCCCACTGTGAGCACCAACACAGAGGCAGAAAATTCTTTTGTACTGCCATCATCATCATCATATAGGCCATCATCACTCACTCGCTCATTCTTCTCCTTCCTTCCTTCATTCATTCACTTATTCATTATTCTTTTAATAAATACTCATCAAGTACGTACTGTGTCCCTGGTGCTGGGCCAGCACTGCTGGTAGACATTTAGCAACATCAAATTTTTGTACTCCCAAGGACAAGCCATCATTCCTTGACTGCCCTGGGGGAAGCATGGCCATACTCTGCCCTACTTTTTTTCAGTTGGGGACACAGATACAGACTGATTTTCATTTGCTTACATAATTATTGAACATGACTCAGAAACAAGGCTGCTGAGTACAGCTGCACAGGCTGCGCACTGCACAATTTCAAGGGGAGTTGTGCAACCGGGAAGCGTTCCATTGGGCTCCAGAATCAGTCACCAGCTCTCATGGCTTAGTCCACCAGGCTGTGTGGCTTGTTCAGATCCTACTGAGATGTGCTACAACTCCATCAGCAAACAATGCCAGTGTAGCTGCTAAACCAGAAAGCTGGTCCCCATCTAGTACTGGCAAGCCCACAGCCACTTCAGTGGAGGAGACCTTCTTCTCCCTTAGGAGAAGCCAGTGGACCTAATATCCCAGCCAGTGGACCTAATATCCAGAGTCCTCCCCTCCTTCTCCCCCAATCCCTGTGTGGGAGAATGTAGAACACTGTCTTCCGTGCCCCCAAGCTGTCTCTGTACTGTTCCCGCCATGCAGCCTCTGACTTAATAGCCCTGGAGCTATTCACCAGGCAAGCAGGAGAGACCCCAGAGGCTTTGTCTTTTGGGACTGGGGTAGAGCATGCCACTGCCATATTCCTTAGCCCCAGGCTGGGCTTCACCAAGAGTTGGACTGTACCACGTATCAACTGGCTGACCAGCTGCCAGATAGTCTACTTCGTGTTCCCCACCACTCAAAAACGCGTGCATCCGCACATACCCACATTAAATGAAAAACAAAAACAAAAAAAAAAACACAACCAACAACACACTGCCCTCGAGGTGCCTCAGTGGGGCATTTCCCCTTTAGTCTATTACCCTACCTGCCCCGAGGCTCTAATCCTTGCGCTCAACTCCAGCCATGCCTTCAACGGCACTAAGTGATAGGCAGTGCCCAGGGACCTTCACTCCAGTGAACATGCACGATTATCCTCATGCTCTCATTCCTCGGGCGACCTGATGCTACATGAAGCTTTAAACCAGGCAGCAGACAAGCCCACGACCTCGAGCAGGGACTGGGGTATTACGAGCATCTCTGCTGCCCCTCAGGGCAGGCAGCTCTCTTTCTGGGCCTGTCTTTCATCCACAGCACTGGTCATGCCAAGTGCACAAGGCAGGGAGGAATCGGTGCCCTCTGCACCGCGGATGTGGCCAGTCATGGGCCCACAGCTCAGCCTTGACCGGAGGGGACAGCGGGGCTGGGGGTGGGGTCTGAATCGGGTCTCTGTAAGCCATAGGAGAATCCACAGCGGGGTCAGGCAGGGATGTCAGGTGACTCCAGCACCCAACCGTGCTCTGTGAATCCCAGGGCTCTTGCACGTTTCGGAAGTACTGGCGTCTGTGCGGCGTTGAGCGGGGTCGTGATTGCCTGGAAGCCAGATTCGTGGCTTCCTGGCTGGAACACACGTTGCATTTGAATTTAAAAGACCGTTTTTTCCTCTCTGGTGTGTGTATGTGAACATACGTGCGTGTGTGGGTGTGCACGTGCCCCTGCACTCGAGAGCTGGCGTGTACCTGGGTCTCCGTGTGCACACATTTCAAGACTGGAATGTGCACTTCTTCGTCTGCATGTGATTTGTACCATGGGTGGTGATGGCAGTTTGGTTGATGGGAAACAGTCCCCTGCTTCCCCGTGCGGGAGCCATCAGAGAGCCTGTGTGTCGGTGGTGTCTGGGCCCCCGAGGAGAACGTATGGATAGAAGTATATACCTAAAGCATCAAATAATGAGGTGTTGGATAGATCACCAAGACGCAGGTATTCACATTAAGTCCGTGGGGATGGGGCTGGTCCCGGGCACGAGAATGGGTTTTGCTGATCCCTCCACGTGCATTTACCCGGCCTCCCTGCCAATGGTGCGACCTACCTCCCAGCTTTCAGGTGCAGGACACAGCCCTGCAACAGGACCAGGGTGCACAGAGACTGAACCTGCAGCCTCTCCTTAGCTCTGAGACCTTGCAATCGAGCAAATGAGCCTGTGGCGGTGATGATGCCACCTGGCATTTACTTAGCGTTCTTAAATGCTTTGACCTGCCTCATTCACTCAGCCAGTTTTTATAAGCACTGCTCACGGATGTGGCCGCTCGCAGGGGACAGGTGAGCAGGGGAGGACAGGGGATGTTATCCCACTTGTGGCACACAGTGCGTTGGGATGAGAACCGGGGCTGGGACCCAGGGCACCTCTGCACTGAGAGCTTCTGCACCCCTCCTCAGGGAGTGTCTCGTAACACCTGTTGGTCCACGGATGCACCCTGGAGATCATGCATTGTAGTTGCCCACACAGAGGTCCTTGGGAGCACCGCAGGGAGCTGTCCTTGGGAGCACAGGGGCCCGAGGGCCTCTCTGAGATGCATCTGCTCTCCCTACAGAGTGGCGACAAGGAAGCGGGGCGAGGATGATCCTACAGGATGAAGACATCACCACCAAGATTGAGAATGACTGGAAGAGACTGAACACGCTGGCCCATTACCAGGTGGGGTGACTGCACAGGAGGGATGGGGCTGGTAACCTGCCGTTCCCTCAGAGTCTCAGTCCTTGAAGGATAGGGTCACCCTGAGGCCGGACACCAAGCCCTGCAGCCACCTCTCCACTGGCACTTCTGATCCCTTAGCGACCCAGGGAAACTTGGTGTCCGTCAGCCAGGAAACCCTGACCTCTTTGGAGATGGGATGCCAACATGCGTGCTTCTGGCAGGGTGTGCTTCCGGCGGGGTGTGGGCAAGTCCCCAAGAAAAGGCCTTTCTTGGATGATCCCTGGGGCGTAAGGCCGGGTGCTCTCCCAGGGAAGCATCGGGATGGAGGGTGCTGGTGAGACGCTCTTGCCAGAGTTGCTCTAAGAGTTAGCCACGGCGTAGGATGCTATTCAGCGTTCAGGTCTGTCTTGTTTCATCGAAGAAAGCCGACCGCCTCCAAAGCCCCCCCTGTTCTTGGTGAGGCACTGATTGCCCCTGAGATCCAAGTAAATTCCTGTTGTCCTTATTTCCTCAGGTGGCAGAGTTTCTGTGCCCAGTCTCTTGTAAGCCTTTTCCTTGTAGGTGCCAGATGGTTCTGTGGTGGCTTTAGTGTCCAAGCAGGTGACAGCCTACAATGCCGTGAACAACTCCACAGTCTCCAGGACCTCGGCAAGTAAATATGGTGAGTTCTGCCAATCGTCCTGGGGAGGAGAGAATGCCTGAGCTTGTTGGGGTGATCGTCACATTAACAGCACCGCTGAACAGCACTGGACCCCCGGACAGGGAGGGTGAGAGGGAGGCGGGCAGGCGGACCACGGCTGGGGAGAGCCCGAATGGGGAGGAGTCTTCTCGTTCTGGAACTCTGGTGCAGGAACAGGACCTTCAGCCTTGAAAACAAGAAGAAAATCTAACCTTCACGAGCACCTCACAGTCTACGACACAGTGCTTTCACTTTTGCGGTCTTCATTATCGCACGTCATGTTCGTGACAATCAGCGAATTAAATAATTATTGTTTCCCCCTATTATGCAGATTAGCAGATTATAACTCAGATGCTCAGAAGCTACACAACACGTAAAGGTCACACGGTTATGAAGCGGCTGAGGGAAGGTGCAGACCCAGGGCTCCAGCTCCGGGATGCGGGGTGGGGAGAGGATGCTGGGTCCAGGCTGGGGGCCCCCGGTGCAGCCCTGTTCTGCCTCCACCTGTGTGCTTTGGGGCCAGCTGCCTGACCGCCGTAAGACCTGGTTCTCTTACCAGCAAAACTGGAGAGGAAAAAATGACCAATTCCCCAGGATCACTGTGAAAAATCAGTAGTAAACATACAGTGGTGCCCGCACACAGTAGGACCTTTTCTGCTCCACACTCATTTCGCCACAGCCCACAGCGAGCCAGTGGGAAGATCTGGCCCGGGCCAGATGGGAGGATGCAGGTAAGCAGGTGACAAGGTGATCACTCAGCTGCTCCACGGCATTAAGGGAAACACAGCACATGTCCTGAGACATCACCTCAGAACCCTTACCAGGAAAAGTGTAACGACGGACAGGCTGCTGGTCTTACAAATTGAATAATTAAGGGCTGGAGAGATGCAGGTACAGGAGGGAGAGGAATCTCAGCGGGTCAAGTAGCCGCGGAGGGTTTCCCGGACGTGGCAGGAAAAGCATCCCACGCACAGGGAATGGACCGACGCAAGGCAGGCAGCCAGCAGCACCCGCAGATTGCAGGCAGGATCAGACGGTATTGGCCACGGCCAGAATGGGGGTCGTGTGATGGGTCATGGAAGGGCCTCACACACGCTGGGTCATTGCCTTGGCAGAAAACATGATCCGATACACCGGCAGTCCTGACAGCCTCCGCTCGCGCACACCCATGATCACCCCCGACCTAGAGAGCGGAGTCAAGATGTGGCATCTGGTGAAGAACCACGAGCACGGGGACCAGAAGGAGGGCGACCGGGGGAGCAAGATGGTGTCTGAAATCTATCTGACGCGTCTGCTGGCCACGAAGGTATGGGGCTTCAGACGGGCTTCGGGGCACGTGTGGGGTGTGGGAAGGAGAGTCATCAGCCCACAGAAATGCCAAGCTGGCGGATGCCTAGCATCTGTGCTCGCCCCACCCGTTATCCACTCAGCCCCAGTGCTCTTTCCCAGCACCGAAACTCAGAATCCTCAACCTCGCGCTTCAGGCAAGCCCCGCGCGTGCATCGGTGTGCAGCCCGAAGCACTGCTTCCATCCTGCTCTGTGCCCCGTTCCCAAATATGGAGACACTAGCCACATCTGTTCACGTTCTTCTGTCATGCCTGTGAGAGAATGCCTCCTTCTCAAGGGTGTCACATACAACCCCTAGTGAGGCAAAGTGGGGCTCCATCAGTGACTTTCCAGGCACCATTTCTTTTTTTTAATGTTTTTATTTATTTTTGAGACAGAGAGAGACAGAGCATGAGCGGGGGAGGGGCAGAGAGAGAGGGAGACACAGAATCCGAAGCAGGCTCCGGGCTCCGAGCCATCAGCCCAGAGCCCGACGCGGGGCTCGAACTCACGGAACGTGAGATCGTGACCTGAGCCGAAGTCGGACGCTCAACCGACCGAGCCACCCAGGCGCCCTTCCAGGCACCATTTCTGATCCCGGTTCTGGGAACATTGTGTGCCTGCGCTCAGCCCTTCAACTTGTGAGGCTGGCCTCCGCTCTGAGCTCTGCAGAGCTGACTGTGTAACTGCTCATCAGCCAGCGTGAATGATGCCCAAACAAAACCAGCAGATTGTGTTTGTCTGCTCCGACCGAGTGAGTTGTTCGTTAGCATTTGTGAAAAGTGCTAAAATAACACCACCAAAGGGTGTTAAACCAACCCATGTTGTTGGCAGAGGAAGGCTCGCTTAGGTCCAGTCATCAGCATTATATCTATCTTCCACGTGCACGGGAAATTTAAAGCTGTTGGAGGAAGGTGAAGACGGTAGGAGACTTGATGCAGGCACTTGCCCGGCCTCCGCTCTCCCCCTCCCCAGCAGGCCATGCACCCTGCCCTCCCTGCCCCTCTCCTGGTCTGCCGGGCAGATCTGAGACCCTGTCCTGAGAGTTCCCTGGGTGGAGCTGCGTTCTGAACCAGTCCCCCTCCGCAGGGCACGCTGCAGAAGTTTGTGGACGACCTGTTCGAGACCATCTTCAGCACGGCGCACCGGGGCTCGGCCCTGCCCCTGGCCATCAAGTACATGTTCGACTTCCTGGACGAACAGGCCGACAAACACGGCATCCACGACCCGCACGTCCGCCACACCTGGAAGAGCAACTGGTGAGGGAGGCCGCCGCCCCCGCTTCCTCCGCAGGGACCCGGAGCAGGCCCTGCGTCTGGGCCTCCCTGCCCTCTCCTACTGCATCCGCGCTGGCTTCCTCTCTCACTTCCCTCCACCCAAAGCATCCTTGTTTCCTATCCATCAGTCGGGCAGGTTGCAGACACTTATTGAACCAAGTAAGTGAGCGAAAACTTAACACGCCAAATGTTGCCACCAGAACCCTGTCACATCCAGAGTATGCCTGACACTGTGCCTGGTGTGTGCACACACGGTCAGGCACGGCCACCGCCCTCGGTGGGCTGACAGGCGTGGGTAAGAGACAGGCAGGTGGCTGTTGGGACAGGGAGGCCGAAGATGCACGCATGCAACCAATTCTAGAGCCAGCACCTCAAGCACGGTTGTGACCTGAGAGTCGTCTAGGCGAACAAAAGGTGTTTCCGTTCTATTCGAGAAGCAAGGGTCTTCCCTTCTGCCAGACTCGTCTTCCCAACTCCCTTTGGGGAAGAGACCTTCCCGTACCTGCTTTGTCCTTCTTCGAGGAAGCAGGACTCTCTGAGCCCTGACACCCTAGATGTCTCCACTATGGTTCCTGTGTCCTTGAACATAGGCCCTCCTGTCTCTTCGTGGGTGTATACTCTGTGTTTCCATTTGCAGCTGCAAGGTCAGACATCAGTATTCAGCACTTGGTGTGAAACCTCGCACAAAGCCGTGGCTCGATAAATATTGATGAAGATGTAGGACCAAGGTGGTCTCTATCTGAGGGCTCTGTCTCAGGCCAGGCCGGCTTGTATTTGGTCCCATCAGTTCCAGCATTGCCTCCCTGGAGCTTTTCGACAGTCCCTGTCCCAGGTTGTTCTTCCCCAGAACATTCTTCCAAGGCAGCACAAGCCTGCTGCCCAGCACCTGCGGCCGACAGCTGGGACGGGCCCGGCTCTAGGGCTCGGCCAGGCACCCCGGCAGCCAGCCTGGAGCCCCAGACCAAACATGGATCACGGCAGGAGTCAGAAGTGGCACTAAAACCTCACTTAACGTCATCTGCTCTGGCTTCTCCTCTCTTTTGCCTGAAGAGTAGTGCGATCTCTGCTGAAACTGGAAATGCGGGCAGGAACAGAGGTTTGGACCATAGCACTAAAGAGTTGGGTTTACGCCCCCATTAATTCTGGGTGAGAGATCTTGCACTGCCGAGTTCCTGCACCCTTTCTGAAATAAGACGGTTAGACTCCGGATTCCTCAGGGGCACGGGGTGAAGGCCCTTCCCTGCTGAAGGCCTGCCAGCCTGGTCTGGGTAAGAGTGCTTTGAATTCTGCCCATCCTCTTAGCGCGGCTCTGCAAAGCCGTTCCGTGGGCCATGTCCCTGACCTACCCAGTCTGCTTCTCTCTGCCAGTCAGTCTTCCTACTCCCCACCTCATCCGAATGTTAGCAGACTCCACAACACAAAGAATGCTCTGCCCAGCCCAGCTCTTGGGCCTGGCTGTGGAGGGCTGGTATTTCCAAAACACTCAAACACCCCTACATGCCCTCGTAGTCCCTTACCAGCAGACCACCTGAAATGGTATCTAAATCATTCGTCTTCAGCCCATACTTTGGCTGGGGTGAGCACCGCCTCCCCCGCCGCCCTCCAAGGATGCCATAATGCCCTTGGCGTGGGGCCAACCTTCCCTTCACACCAGCTCCTCCCAGTACTCTGGTGTCATCACAAGGAATCCCAGGGCGGTCGTCCGCAGTACCCGGCTTGAGTTCTCTCACCCAAGGACATGTGCCCCCTGACCCTGCTCACTGCCCAGGCAAGAAGCAGTTCGTCTGGGAATTATGAGATCTGCATCATGACTTAGAGTTCATCGTCCCTGAGTAAAAAAAAAGATGATTTCTTGATTCCTGGCCAGAGTTGCAACTCACCTTCTCCCCACCCGCTTCCTCCACGTTCCCCTACCTTTTCTCTTTGAAATAAACCTCCTGCTCATTTAGCCTGAGTGGCTGCAATCAACCAGAGATTAGTGCCACCACCAATGTTAATAATATGCTAATATTTCATTAGGCAGGAGCCTCGGTGTGGTGCCCCGGTGCCCCTGTTTGATTTGCCTGTCAGCACAAGTGGCGTAAGCAAGGGAAACGACTGTGTAGCAGATATTAGACTCCCCGAGACCGTCTTCTGGATGAGACGCCCAGAAACAGGAAGGTGTGGACAGGGGCGGAGCAGCCTGGAGTCCATGCAGGGCTCTGACCCCAGCTGTCACGGTCTCCCCTGGGCAGCTATGATGACCCTGACTTTCACCGTGTGTTGCAACTTTCTGTGTCACCCCCTTATTTCCTAGTCCCTATTTCAAAGGACGAAACAAGTGCCACTTAACGTTGTCAGATCTCAGTGCTGCCCAAGATCTGACAGTCCTGTGCTGCACATTTTGTAGGAACGAAATACTTGCTGGTCGATCGGCAGTCTTGAATATGAGGTCTTACTGTAGTTTAGCATCTGTTGTATGGAGGTACCGGCCACTGGGAGATGCAACAAATAGAAATGTATTGTACTCGCCAGATTGAAGTAAGTAATTCAAAGCGCTGAAGTTTCAAGAGGCGAGTCAAACACATAGGAACGCTGTAACTATTACCAACAGTGAGAACAGCTACCAAAGCAATAAAACTTCAGGGCAGAAGGCAGGAGGTGAGGAGGAGGTGGGGGGCAGAGGGCGGGAAGCAAGCGATCCCTTGCTTGGTGCCATCCCGCTTCCTTACCTGCATCTCAGTAGGCCGGATGGAAGCCACAGGATGCGAGAGCCGGCAGAGTGTGGCCAAAGGGGACAGGGGACAGGTCTCTCCCAACCTCCCTTTTTGGCAACAGAGAGTGTGACTTGTGTTTAACAGACCACACTGCAGTTTTTCTCCTCTTTGGCTTGGTTTAGGTGACTCCTCTCCTGCTTCCTCCAGGTTACTCCAGCTAAGGAATGCATCTGTGTCTTTAAAACGCAGACCATCTAGTGTCTTTCCCTCCGTGAAGACTTTCTGAACACTTCCCTCTGCATAGACTCGGTGACGCCTCCCTGTGTCCCACATCAGACCCTGCCTGTCCTTGGGTTCCAGCACTGATAGCTCTCAGAGCACATGCTTGGTGGCAGGCCTGACTCCCCCACGAACCCACCAGAAAGCTGGCTTCTTGAGGGCAGAGGATGTATCCCCAGTTGTTAGCGTAGTGCCTGGTATGCAGTAGGTGCTCAGTGCAAGAAAGAGGGAGGGAAACACAAGGGGACAGATGAAGGGCTGTGAATGTGGGTTTCTAAGCATGCCGGCTCAGGGAGGAGAAATTAGTTAGCTACACTTCAACTGCTCAGCCCCAGTGCCTTTACCGCGTAGGGTCAAACTGTACTGTCAGGCAGGGAGGAAGGATGTGCTCTCTTCCGGGTCATACCATGGATGGCAGAGAATAAGATACAAAACCTGTATTCCAGGCTATTCTTTAAGGTTTGCCGATTGGATGTGCATTATATCCGGCATAGGGGGTGGACAGTGGAATAGAGTCAGAAACTCCACTTTATAGCACCCACACTGGCTGCCTCTGAGCCCAAGCCTTGTGCTGCCAGGGAAGCTTGTAGTCCTGCAGTCTTCAGGCTGGGCATCAAGCCCTCCCCAGTGCCCATCAACATTTTAGCCGTGGGTGGACTAGTCAGCCTTGCTGATCCTCAGTTTCCTGCCAGGTATGTTAGTGGCATAGGCTTTGCTTTTAAGAACAATCGGTTCTCAGCCTTTTCTCTTTCCCCAGAGAACTCTCCAGGCCACGCCACACCCCCTGCCCTCTCTTCCTGACCATCTGCCTCTTCCCTCCACACAGCCTACCCCTGCGGTTTTGGGTCAACATGATCAAGAACCCTCAGTTTGTGTTCGACATCCATAAGAACAGCATCACGGACGCCTGCCTCTCCGTGGTGGCCCAGACCTTCATGGACTCCTGCTCCACATCAGAGCACCGACTGGGCAAGGACTCCCCTTCCAACAAGCTGCTCTATGCCAAGGACATCCCCAGCTACAAGAACTGGGTGGAGAGGTGAGTGCTGGGCCTGGGAGCCAAGGTAGGACCCCTTGCTGAGCAGGCAACTGCCCTTGATTTGGGGTCCCCTCCCCTCCAAAATGGGCTGGTGCTTACAGACGGGTCATTCACAGAGCCCGATCCTGCAATTGGCAATACCCACACCCCCACGTCCCCAGTGGTATTGTCAACTGAAACAAGACCCCAGGGAACCTGGCTGGACATAGCCTCTGTGCTCGGCTTCCCTGCATGGAGGGTCCCAGATCTTAATGGCCGAAACACCTTCAGGCCCAGGAAGGAAATCCAGTTCCTGCTCTAACCCCCACCAAAACAAAACAGAACAAACAAACAAACAAACAAACGCTCAAGGAACCAAATAACATCTTGGCACAGGAAGTCTGGAGTCCTCTACCCATCTGTCGCTGTCTATCCAGTAAGCCTCTCTCCACATTCTGTGGGGATGTCATTCTCATTCTGACACTTCTGACTGCCCCAGACCCTTGACCTTCACAAGATGAGCTCTTGATGCCCTGTGCCCTGCAGTGCTTTCTCAGCCATTGTAGCCATGACCTTAATCATGGTCTCACACATTGTCCTGTGACTGGAGGGCCAGTTGTAAGCTGGGGAGCCCGTCTTCATGCAAAGCTAACTCATGGTAAAGAACGTTAATGGTGTGTCTGGGCCAGTCGGCTCCCGGTAGCAAACACCTGAGCTACGCAACCAGCCAAAGCCTTATTTATTTATTCATCACCGTAGTCCTGTGTCCAAGAGGATAGGATTAGAACCTCATTTTCTTCCCATGAAAGCGAAGAAATATACATTCAGAAAGGCCAAGATGAGAGGTGATCCCCAAACTCAACTAACTCCTACTTTTGTACCATCAGTGATGCTTCTAGTCGGGGCCTCTGCCAACCTCTGTGGTGCCTCTTTGTGAATTCAACAAGGTGCCCTTTCTTACCGGAGGATGTAACTCCAAGCCAGGGTGCATGGTTTGTTGAATGATGGACTGGTTGTCAGCCCAAGCTCCTTTGTGCAGTGAACAGCCTGCACAACTGCACAGGGCAGTCCTGATTTTAGAGTCCCTTTCTCTTGTTACCATGAAGCTCAGATTTGGTACCTTTATTAAGAGTAAAAGATGCCAGAAATTGTTCTTGACTTAGTAACTGAAGACAAAATGAACAGTATCATTTCACCCATGGGAAAGAGACAGTCTCCATCTTCATACTTGAAAATTGCCTTCCCTAGGGGCGCCTGGGTGGCGCAGTCGGTTAAGCGTCCGACTTCAATAGTCACGCGATCTTTAGCAGTCCGGGAGTTCCGGGAGCCCAGCGTCAGGCTCTGAAACTTTCATTTGGAGCCTGTTCATTCTGTGTCTCCAGTCTCTCTGCCCTTCCCCCATTCATGCTCTGTCTCTCTCTGTCCCAAAAATAAATAAACATTGAAAAAAAAATTTAAAAATAAATTGCCTTCCCTTTGGGGACTAGAGGGGGAGTGGAGTCTTGGCCACCTCAGCAACATAGATTCCTTCTGCTAAGCGACTGAGTTTGTTTTTCTCCCCTCTGTTCTTTGATATCCTCCCTACCCCTTCCTGCTGATGCATGGGCTGGGCATCAGTCTTGGCCGTCAAAGAGAGAGAGCTCTTGTGTCCTTGTATCTCTTGATGTCGGTGATCCACTAGGAGGCTCTCAGCTCCCTCCACACAAGATGGTGGCCGTTCTTCTGGCGACAGAGCTGCTTTGGGAGCAAGCCCTCTGGCGGTCACACTCCGGCCCTTGTAAGCAAAAAGAACCGAGAGGAGAAGGCAACAGCAGGGGCCTCTGGTTATCTCAGCAGAAGTCCGCGGTGCTGGGACCTGGGGCGGGGGAGAAGCGGGGAAACAGGGGTATGGAGGGAGGGCTGGAGGTTGCCAGAAACACCTGCAGGACCCCTCCCAGGACAGGCCCCAGCTAGTCAGAGGTGTGAGCTAGCGTGTCAGCCCGGGGCTAATATTTCCTTCGCCTGATTGCTAAATGAAATTTGTGCCAGCATAGCTGCTACAGGTCATGAGTAACCCCAGATGTTTGATTTATTTTAGGAGTGGCTTGAGTGAACTCACATTCCTTATCCCAGCCAGTTTCTTAGCAACGGTGGTACTCTGGGGAGAATCATCTCCCACTGGCAGATCCCCACCAGCTTGCCTTTCTCCTCTCATTCTGGATGAAATTACAGGGGGCAGGAGGATCCGGGAGGGGCACAGCATGAGCAGGTCTGGAGAGTCAAGTCAGAGTGCTTCACCTTCACTTGGTAGTGGATGGATGAACTCACTGTCACTTTGAGGAGCCTGGCCTCGAGGTTATGCTGCCTGCACCGGGAAGGTGAAGTCGGTGAAACTGGCTGAGTGCGCCAGCAAACCTGATCTCCCCACCTTGGCCCCCCCACACAGGCAGCAGCATGCAGTTCAGAGGAAAAGGCGGTGGGAGCAGACTCTCTGGCGGCACACCCACAATGATATTGGCTGGCAGCTCCCACTGCACACTCCCAGTCTTTGCCGCCTCCGTCCAAGTATGCGGGCTTTGGCCATAGCCCATCTAGAAAAGGCAGCCTCCTGTTTGGTGGCCATCTTAAAGACACTTTACACTCATGAAAACTTCTCTTTAGATGGCCCCCGGTAGCCATCTTAAAACACTTCCCTCCTCTACAAAGGAATCACCCTTGACAGTAATGCCGTGACCAGTTATAATTTCTATTTCGTGCTAAGCCAATAGCAGTAAAATTTGCATGTCGGCGGGGGGGGGGGTGATTTCCTCTCCGCTTAAATTGGAGGAGGCTCAAGGTTATTCCTGTGGTCGCGTTAGCCTTTCTCACCTGCCCTCAAGGCTTTGCAGGTAGGGCTGAGCGGAGCAGAATCGCAGCCGACCCGCTCAGAACCGGACTGGGGTGTGCCACACATTTCAGGGCCATCTGTCACATGTGTCACAGTGTGAAAAAGGTTAAGAATTTTGAATATTTAAAAATGCCTCTTAGGAAGCCATCCATTCAAAACATAAAACGGTGACAGTTCACCCTGGGAGCAATACCAGAGGTGAAGTATAGACATTTCATTAACTTATTCATCAGTCCATGGGTCAAACATTTACGGTCTCCATCAGAAGCGTATGGGGCACTTGGGATATATTACACTTGATCCTTCCCTTGTGGCTCTCGTGGTCAAGGAGGACACACAGACAGGCCCTTGGCAAACCCCGTGGAGCTGTGATCATGCGGCTGGGGGAGTGAGAGCCTGATTCTGCTGGGCCTGGAGAGGTCCGTGAGAGGTTCTCAGAGATGAAGATTTCTGTGCGGGGACTTCAGGCTCTAGATGTTTCTCATATCTACACCTTCATCCTTGAGGTGTTTGGAGGGATGACAAAACTTTGCTCTTCTAAGAGTTCAGGGCATTAGAGACCACCTTCTTGATCACTGGAGCCATCCAAAGGCAGAGATGAGACACCCACCATCACTCACTGGGCCCATCCCCTAGAAACCCACAGACAGACCGCTACAGATGGGCCGACAGCGAGACATTCAGCACTCCAGGGCCCTGTCCTTTCTAACAGCTCCCCAACGACCCATAAGGGTACTGGCATCCCATCCGATGTGAACAAACTCAGCAAAGAAAGCTGAGTAGGGCCGGTGGTGGGACCCAGACCTCATCAGCAGGCCGGACCTTGGCCAGCTGGGAGTGGGGGGTGGTCTTGGGGGACTTTCCAAGCGTCAGTCCCTTTTGAAGGGGCTCACCTGCAGGCAGAAATCCCATGGGAGGAAGTTCAAGTACAGGAGCCCAGGCTGACCTCTCCCTTCCTCACTGCACAACCTGCTGATAAGAATACTTGTTTGAAGCTCATGAATATGGGGCATAATTACATTCTTCACAATCAATAAGCCTTCTCAGTGGTGGAGCCCGGCGCAAAGGCCAGCCCAGCGGGAGCTAAGAAGGAAGCAATTGCCCACACAGCCAGGGAATCCAGGGCAAGGTCATTACTGGGCTCAAGGGGTGCTGGCAAGGCCAGGGAGAGAGGTGGGGCACAGCCCTGGATGGAAGCGAAGAGAGGTCAAGGCAGGGTCACATGCCTTGTTGGGTGGATGGTCCCGGCTAGCACCAGGCAAGGCTGGGGTCAAGACCCAGGCAGAGTGTTAGCTGGACCACAAATGCCACACTCATCTGGGAAATTGAGCTGTCCGGGGCCACTCAGCTCAGCTGTTCAGTACTTGCTGAAGATGAAGACATGTGGTTGGTCCATTCAGGGGCTAGTGTGTGGCCTCAGATGTGCACTGGTCCAATCCAGTGCCCTCCGCATGTAGGCAACAGAGGAGAGACTGGACCACTCTGTGCAGAAAGGACCTCACTGTTAGAATAACACAAAGCCATCCGGGTGGCTCACCACCCATTTCTTCAAGTGAGAAGGTTGGAGCCCCTGCCCTCACCCCACTCCGCTCCCAACCCCTCCCTCCCTCTCTTTCTCACACACAGACACATTTGTAAATATTCTCTTTGGAGAAATGGACTGGGCTTCTGGCACACACCAAGGCAAGCCATGTTAAAAGGACAGAGTGTTGGGCGTCTGCTGTTTGCGGTGGACACAGTGGTCCCTAACTTGGACCCACAGGAGGCATCTCAGGGTGCAGGGTGCAGGACAGACCATCCATCTACCTGTGAGAAGTTTCACAGGCAAGTATCAGAAATGGCAGGAGTCTTTGCTTCTGAAGACAGTCATGTCCTGTCAGTGAGGACCTGGGTTTTTCATCCCGGTCAGTCTCTCTGACCATCTACTGGTGACAGAGTATAACTGTCGGGAGGAAGCTCTGGACCCAGGCATGTTAGCAGAGATGTGCCTGGTTGCTGGCCGTGGAGAAGCCAGGGAGGTCCTCTGTTCATGGTTTTCCCCAAAATGACCTGATGACATAGCCCTTGACCCCACAAACACATGTACCTCGGCAAGTGTGAAGAGACAATGGTGCAGAGCTCCTTAGGAGGGGCGGGGGTGGGAACCGTCACTGAAACCCCTAGGTCTCCACCATAAAATGGAGCATTGGCATTTATTGCCTTCCAGAAATAGTGCCAATGAATCGAGTCTCTCGCTGGAATGTTTATACCTGGAATGTCATTAAATCACCCAGAACCCGAAGGAATCTGAGGATGTTTAGGGGGTGGACCGCAGGTCTGGAAGAGAGTGGGCTCATCTGGGATGGAGTGAAGGAACCAAATTGCACCAGGACAGGGTACGGAGGGCACTGAATGTGAGAAGCGGTGGGAGGGGGGGCACCCACACTAGACGAAGGTTGTGAAGGATGAAGTCCAGGTGAGGCAGGGGGCAGGCCGGCCTCCTCTGAGGCCACAGGCTCCTCTGAGAAAGGTCATTCCATTACACTCTTGTCCCCAGGCCCAGAGCTCCCGCCAAAATGCAATCAGCTCAACAAAGCAGTTGGCGAGTGTGTCTGTGTGTGGCTGGCTTTCTGAGGTCAGAGGAGGCCCCCTCCAACCGGCTCCTTCCCTTGCCAGCGCGCTCTGCTTTCATCTCCCTCCCTCTGCCTCCCTCGGAAGGTTTCCAGAATGAACGACGGGTCTGCGGTCACAGCAAGGCCGTGGCTTGGGGCAGGGTGGCCATCACCGCCCTCACTGGCCCAGGAATGCTCTGGCAGCAGATTGAACTGTCATCCCACTGCGAGCCTCTGAGCGTGATGGCTCGAGGAACACAAGAGTGCCACGTGTGCTGGGCTGTCCCCGAACTCCTCGGCCTGGACTGGGGGAGGTGGAGGTGTGGGCATGGCAGAGGATCTATGGATTCATGGTCTCGGTGCACTGAGGGATTCGGGCCAGGGTGAGACTGTACCAGAGCCCCCGAAGATGCCACTACACTTGCCTGGTCAAGCCCAGTTCTGGGACTGCCCAGGGCCTGTCATTGGTACCTGCACCTACACATCTCGCCAGTGCCCCACGTGCCTCAGCCTGGTCCCTGCAAACCGCCCCCCCCCCCCCCCCC